TCCCAATGTACTGAAGGTGGACACGCATTAACTTGCTTTTTCAAGTGATGCATTTGTCTTTTTTAATAGAATACCATGACATCAACTTTTATTTATTTCACACAATCTCACTGCAGACAGAAGAGAACAAAGAAGCAATAAAAGCCAGAAAGGAAAGGCCAGCAGGAGAGGCAGGGTCAATGTCCATCACTTAAATTATGTAGTAATACTCATGATGAAAGGAGAACTATTATCAGTCAGCTCAGAGTTTACTATTCTGATTAAAAACGTCAAGCAATTTTTTTTCCGGTGCCTCCTGGCTCCTCAAGCAATCTTCAGAACTGCCTTCCCCTCTCCTTTCCTCCACCCTTTAAATGGGTAAAATGGTTTTTATAAGAAATTACTCCATTAATCGGATGAAGCAAATGAGATTCCCTAATAGCTGATATGACAATACAATTACTCTTTAAGGTGATAACTGTTTAAAATTAATAATGGCTAATCTATTGTACATGTTCAGCTGCAACCCTACCCAGACATTTAATTCCCTTGCTAAGACATTGGACATTGATCTTATTCTTGATTCACATTATGCTTTTTCAATCTGCTATTCTGGTTCGAATGATAACAGTGTCAGGCAGGGGTGGGAGGAGGCCAAAATGGCGGCAAAGGAGGCTGAGTCACTGGTATACATGCAAAAGAGATGGTGCTTCAGTCACCCTGCAGCAGCCGTCATCCTGCTTTTTTTAAACACCACAGCTCCATACAATATTATCTTAAAATTTATTTTCAGTGTAAACATAGCCAGCAAACTTACAATACTTTGAATCATTTAACAAATTCTTTATCAATAATCACCCTGTTGAAATATACTAGTAAGAATTCAGGAAGGCATGCCCAAAAAAAAAGAATGCATACCAAGAAATGAAAGGAATGAAGACCATCAAAAAAACACCATTATGTTTTATACATGTCACATTTCTATAAAATTATGATAAATTCCAGAATATACAAAAAATACTATTTCGTACCTACTGGATGATTCTATATCTTTTCAGGAACAAATTGATGGGTTTAGCTAGTACTTAAAGATATGATGCTTAAAAGGGAATTTTGATTCATTGGCCCTGTGATTCAGTGGCTCTTTTTTCTGCTTCTCTCTCTCTCTCTCTCTCTCTCTCTCTCTCTCTCTCTCTCTCTCTCTCTCTCTCTCTCTTTCACTCTTTCTTTCTCTTTCTCTTTCTCTTTCTTTCTTTCCCTTCTTTCTTTCTTTCTTTCTTTCTTTCAAAAAAATTATTTTACATATTTGTTTTATTTTAGTAGACTATGTTTTTAAATGTCCATTTTCTATTCATTTTAATAAGAAAAGAAATAGTGGTTTGAACTCTTTCTGAACAATTTTTTTAGTGTTAGGAATCACAATTAGAGACTACTTAGAAATCTGTATTACATATATCACTTCACTTTTCCATATTATATATAGAAAAATTCAATATACAAAAGAAACAGCAGCATGATTCTTGCCTTAAAAACTTCTAATTGCTGATTTGTTTTTAAGGACACTTCAAATTGAAAAACAAATGTTTAAATATGCACAAGCATACAAACATCATTTAAACTTCCCTAGTGTGCATGATAAATATCACATTCAACAAACAAATAATATAACAGCAATTGGAACCCACAACTGAGATAATCAAAATATGTGGTCTTTCATTTACTTCTCAATTTCTTCCCAGTTATGATAAATTGTTAAAATACATGTTTCATGCACATACATCAAGGACAGATAAAACTGTGTTTATTCTGTTTCAAGGACCTTTGAAGTAAAATTGCATTTTAGAAAATTACTGTCATTCACTACTTCTTTTATCAAAGAGACTGCAGGGAGATCCTATACCAGTGATGGTAAACCTATGACACTCGTGCCAGAGGCGGCACTCGGAGCCCTCTCTGTGGGCATATGCACTGTCGCCCCAGCCTTGTCTCTTCCCATGGCCCCCTCCTCACCAGCAGCCCCCCCAGAGGAGAATCACCCCCGGGCACGGCCCACGCAAAGCAGCGCAGCCAAGGACATGGTAGCCAGGCAGCGGGGACAAGACTCTGCCCTTGTGCCCCGTCACGTGCAGATGATGCTGCGGAGGGTGTGGCCGCCATGGTGCTGCTGGGCCGCTTGGGTGATCTGTGGCGGGCCGTGTAGGTGGTAGGTGGCCCAGCGGGCAGGGCGGAGCGGGAATGGAGGTGAGGGTGGTTTTGGGGCACTCAGTCTCTAAAAGATTCACCATCACTGTCCTATACAGATTAAACAGGAGGGGAGAACTATTTGCTTTTAAATCACTACTGCAATTTAAATCACTGCATCTGCCAACTCAGGCAAAACTTTCAGTATGACTAACTGGATTCTGTAGCTGCTCAAGTGTTGGCTTATATCCCATATGTAGACAGAAGACATGCCACCATATATGTCCTGCAGCTGCTACTGTTTGTTAAGAACTAAGAAATATGGTCCACCTTAGTCTAGTAACAGTGGTGAAGGATTAAAACTCTCCAGGGAAATAAGTGAAAATGTTATTCAGACTTGAATAACATCAGCTGGTCAGAATCTTTTAAAAGTCTGTGCCAACCAGTGACAAATCCTATCTCATTTTTGAAGACAGTTTACTTCAATCAAAATAGCTATTTTCGCTCTTCATAAATTAACCAGGGTTGTCATAGAAGACTTCAGAAAGCAACTGTTTGGTTATGACATAAAGGCCACAGATATTATCATGACATCATTGTACATACAAATCATTGTGGTTTGTACCAGTTAACTATCAACAGCTGTGACTTTTGGAGTTATTTAACTTAGAGGACTTAAAGGCCACTCCAATCAGAACTGCCTAGAGTACAATTCTTTCTCTTTAAGTTGAGATAAACATACAAAGGAAAATATACAAAAAGGCCAGGCAGAAAGTTGTACAATATTAGCTGCTGACAATCACAAGGAGACTGCTATGTGCTTGCATCCAGCAGCAGAGCATCTTCCTTGCTTCTGTTCAATCAGAATATAAATCTTCAATACAAATCTTATCAGGCAGTTTTATGATCATAATAAACCTTATCTTTGGAAACATTTCTGGTATGAACTGCATGATCCAAACCAAGTTCATCCAGAAAAGTCAATGTGGTCTTAATTTGCTGGGATCACCTACCCTAAGTATCCCAATTTAATAATAATAATAAAGTTTGAAGGTACCTTGGAGGTCATCTAGTCCAACCCCCTGCTCAGGCAGGAAACCCTATACCATTTCAGACAAATGGCTGTCCAGTCTCTTCTTAAAAAATTCCAGTGTTGGAGCATTCACAGCTTCTGGAGGCAGGTTGTTCCACTGGTTAATGGTTCTAACTGTCATAAAATTTGTCCTTAGTTCTAGATTGCTTCTCTCTTTGGTTAGTTTCCATCTGTTGCTTCTTGTCCTGCCTTCAGGTGCTTTGGAGAATAGCTTTACTCCTTCTTCTTTGTGGCAGCCCCTGAGATATTGGAACACTGCTATCATGTCACCCACCATTTAGGGTGGGATACTTGAGGGTGGCCAGCTGCTACTTCCCAGGACCACCCCAGGAAAGTTCAAAAAAGACAAGATGACAGTTGCACATATGGCTAGTATTGTCCTTCAATCATGCATTTATAACTGCCATTATGGCTTTTTGCCCATCCCTGGGGTTATCCCTGTGAAGTTTTTTTTAAATGGCTAGATCAAACACATTTTCCTTGGGGACCTGTTTCCAAAGGCTTGAAGAAAAAATAATTTTACAAAAAGTTACTTTCTAGGTATGGATAACACAAAGAAGCAAACATAAGTTAACCACAAATAAACCTTGTTTGGAACCTTGCCTTTGATGATTGGACATAATGTGGTTGAATAAACCTGTCTTCATTCAAATGGAAAATTAGATCTTTAAGCACTTTTGTTTAGCATCTCAGTATGAATGTAACCAAAACTAGTATGAACTCTATGATACAGTGCTTTTCTCCAAATCTAACCCAATAAGTTATAGGGCTATGTTAATATTTATATGTTACTTATATGTAAGGGTGTAGGTCTATACATATGTTGTATATAGTATATTTAAATGTGTGTTATGTATGTGTACACTTTGAGAGCAAGAAACTAAATTTTATTTTTAATGTGTGCCATTGTGCCCACAGTAAAAAATGACAATAAAGTTTATCTGTCTGTCTGTCTGTCTGTCTGTCTGTCTATCTATCTATCTATCTATCTATCTATCTATCTATCTATCTATCTATCTATCTATCTATCTATCTATCTAATTTCAATAGGCACCAAGTTCAGATCCAGTGATGGAATGGCTCTATCATTTTGCATTTTGTAATTGAATGGGATTATTCTCAGTTAAGTACCTTCACAACTGCAGACTGGGCAGGGGAGAGGGAGAATTAGACAATCAACCTCTCATTGTGTCATCCGACAAGCTACTTACTACCTGCCAGATGTTTTGGGGTGCAAATCCTTAAATATTTTATCAATGGCTAGATTGGCTAGAGTTCGCAAGAGTGACATTCAGACCATATGGAAACCATTAATTCATCTCCCCATCAAGATCCTCAAAAGGAAGATAGATCCACATGGGATAAAATCTGAGCTTTCATCTTGCCCAAGGGGATGGGTAAATATGTTTAGATCACATGAATAAATAATAACTTGTTAGTAGACAGACGTTCGTGGCTTTTAATTTAAGAAATAAGTGCTTTATCAAATTGCCCATTCGCGAAATATTCATGCTGGGAATACTAGCTATACGTCTGATCTTTATAAACTTCAAAAGAAGAACACCCTGCCCCGAAGAGCTTACAATTTTCAACTGTAAATGGAATCTGACTAAATAAAGAGAAGAGAAACCAAAGTGAGCGAGGCAGGTGGATCCTACGCCCTTTATTACAGGTTAAGCGACGCCCCACACGGTCCCCCCCCCCCAAAGTATTTATAATCTTGTCGCTTCCCGAAACGTTGGGCTGCAACGCGGAAGCTGCCGGCAGAGGCACAGGGGAAACCACACCGCCCGGCAGGCTGCAGGGAGAGCTAAATCCGAGGCTGTAACTCGAAGCTGCCAGAGCGCAGCCGGGGGAGACACCCGGGAAGCGGCCAAATACGCAGCCTGCCAGCGAGTTCTCAAGTCCGACATTTCGTTGACCAAAGTTGGCCCTCCTGCTCGGGGCGGAGGGGGCGCGGGCCCGCTGACGTCAGCCAGGAGCAGATAAGAGGTGCTCTCGCCGCCGGAAGGAGCAAAGGGGATCCTGCGGCGGTCCGAGCGAAGCTGCGCGTCTGGAACTCTCAAGCGTTAACGGTGAAACTGCCCTTGGGAGCGGAGCTGAAGTCCGCGGTGCGGAGGTTACCCCAGAATAGCCATAAGCATGCCACAAAACGTGCTTCTTCCCGGACCTCCGCCTTGGGGCTTCAGGCTGTCGGGAGGAATCGATTTTAACCAGCCATTAATTATAACCCGGGTATGTCCTTTCCGATCGCGGCTCTTTGCTTTTCCTGTTGAAAAGGGGCTTCGTGTAGGTTGCCTTTGTATTTACGCCGAAAATAATCTGTTCGGATTGGGTTTGCTGCAGGTGCTTTGCTTTAAAGAAAGGAGTAATTATCAACAGCTGGTTTCCAAGTTTAAAAATATAAAAGGGAAGGGACTTGGCGCTCTCCCGTGTAACTTTGGGAGGGAACGTCTGTATGGCAAGGTGTAATTTGACCATCCTCTCGTTTGCAATCATCTTGTGACTACTTTACCTGTGGTGAAACTTTGTTGACTTTAATGGATCTTTTTGTTCACTATAAATATATTATCAATGTCTGATTTGTAGTGCAGAGAATAAGTCTGGTTCAGGCACAACGTTAATCTGTTAAAAAAAAGGGGTTATAAACTACAAAAGTTGGAATCAGCTGGTCCTGATGCGGATGAACTAAGTATTTTGTAGATATTTCTGAATATCCCCATCTCCTTGATATTCTTTTCCCTGCACTTCTGAAAATAAGTTTTCCCAACACATTGAACTGAAAACAAGAGTTCCTACCTTCTTTAACCTTCCTCAAAAAATAAAATCTATTGGAAGAAAGGATTCAGAGTAGTCCAGTAGCTACACAGGGATTCCCTTCTAAGAAATTCTTTTGCCCTCTGAGTTTGTATTTGTATTGCAAAACTAAGTTTGCAGAACTTTGAAAGGATGAAGCAATGCCTCCTGTTGCTACTTTGCTTTAAATTTCACTCCATCTACTTGTATTGTTAAAGCTTGGAAGCAGTGATCCATACCTTAGCATACAAAATGCTTCTTACCCTGCAAATACAGGAAATGCAGGGCTTTGTTTTTGGAGGGAGGGAAACTTAAGAAGAAACCTACTAGGCCTGGGTTGATGGTAACTTGAGTCACATACCATTGCAATGCAGATATGCTTGCTAAATGTGAAACCTCTTCACCAGGGGAGAAAGTGGGAGACTATGAGTTCAAGTCCCATCTTATCCATGAAAGCCAACTGGGTGACTTTGGGCTAGCCATTCTCTCTCAGCCTAACTCACTTCACAGGGTTGTTGTGGGGAAAAATAGGAATAAGGTGTGTTGGATATGTTTGCAGTCTTAAGTTATTTGTAAAAAGAAAAATAAAGGTTGGATACAAAAACAAATATAAATCAAGCCCTGTTTTATGTGCGTCACATCAAATACAAGGGGGACCTACTATAAGTAGTTTTAAGTGCAATTTAGTTGAACATCTTGCATTGTCCAAGTGAGAAGAGTAGGAGGGTAACACTGCACTTTGTGCTGTCACCTTAATGTTGGGGATCAAAATTAGATTATGACTGTTGAAATGCAACCCTATACTCTAAGAGAAGTTTATTTTGTAATGGGTCAGTTGCCAATCTGGAACAGGTCATTGTGCTTTTTAGGCCTGGAGTACTGGGGGAGGGAGAGAATATCAGGAGAAGGATAATTTAGGTTTGATTCTAGCTGCCTGTTCTATGCAGGAATTTCTCTTCTTTTGCCTTGTTTGCTATGCTTAGGTAAATCCAGGATTTGTATAATAGAGAATTAAATAAAAAATTATTCCTTTTCCCATTGTAACTTCCCTATATGAGTGAGATATTGTTTAATCATATAACACACTTCTTCCTCCTGCATCAGTAATAAAATGTTGAGGGCTTGGCTGTGCTTTTTCCTGCCTTCCCTTCCCACTAACCAGATCCCTCCAGATTCCTGGCTACTGGAGACTAACACAACACTGATTCTATAGTTCTCCTTTTACTGCAGCTGATAACACTGGATCTCCAAGCATTTCAGTGCTTTCATGAACTAGAAATGTGGCCGATTTCTAATCCTTTAGAATTTGCCTTCCCATGGGCAAAAATTGAAAACACCTAATAATTAAACAGCTATCCAGATTGTAATATCTAATATAATAATGTGATTTTTTTTATGTCTCATCCACACCCACATATACGCACAACAAATAAGAGGCCTAGGCAGGCTCCAGGCAGTGCAGGACGGGGGGGGGGGTGGGGGGGGGAATGCATAAGGCCAGCCTTGTCATTAGGCAATTTCAGACCCCACCCCACTCCACCTCATCCTGGGAAAAGAGCATCTGTTTAAAACTCCAGATACTGAGAATGGCAGCAGGAGATTTGGAGACAGAGTTAAATGTACATGCAATGAAATTTGTCCTGCCTAATATAAGTCACCCTGGTTCTCCCGAATTTGACAGAGGTACTCTATGATCTCTTCAGCGTAGCCCAGTGTTTCTGGCTGGAGATTTCTGGGAGTTGAAGTCCACACATTTTAAACTTGGTAAGCACTGGTATATTTTAACCACTGGCGCACAGCCTATTTGTTCCCTGTGTAACAGGTCCCCCTACCCTTTCTAAGTTTATGTAGTAAAACAGATTAATTATGAAAATTAAAATGGCAAAGGAGATGCAGCAATCATCCTTATTTACAAGAAAGCCCATAGGCCCCAAGAAGGCCCTACGGGGCTCTTAGAAATTAAAAATGTCATCTTTCTGCATTTTGGTACTTTGATTGGAAGGGTGCACACCTGCTCAGGAAAAGAATTAGGGGAAGAGAGGGCCTATGTCTGCAGACTCAGAACTCCCTTAGGTTATCATTAATTAGTAAGTTTGTAACTCTTTTGGTAAAATAAGTTGCCATGTAAAGTATCCGAAGACCTAGTGCTCTTAAAGTTTAGTCACGTATCACAAAACCAGACAAAGACCCTCATGGGAATAGAAACAGCTTAGACAGTTGAAACAGGGAATATCTACTGGAATGTTGGCTTGTATCCCTTGTCCAATTGACTTGTAGGCACATTCTGGCAACCAGTTCAAAGTGGGGCAGAAAGCTCCAGAATATGTTTTGATTCATTTAAGAAAAATATATATATTGATGAAGCTGATTCAGAAGGTATTCTCATTGGCTCAGCTGACCCTACTTTTCAGATATGGCGAAAATACCAGAAGAGTTCAAGCTGATCTTAATTTTACCTTTCTGCCTTAGAGAACCGAAATGGCATGCAGGCAGGTGAGAAAGTAGGTTGAGAGTAGAAAAAAGGTGCATTCCATTCATTCTCTTTAATTAGTGCAGAAACTAATCTATTTAATGAGGTAAGGCTCCTATTTTGCACCCAACATAGAAATACAGCTTTCCATTTATGTCCTCCAGGTGATAAACAATGATTGTAAAAAAAGCAGGTCATTTATGGGGCTGAAAGAGCACTATCATAAACTGCTACTGGTAATTTTGCAGAGTGCCTGATCCCTGGAATATAATAATACCTTTACTGAAAAAGTTCCACAAACTGCTTCTACATATAAAGATCTAAATTCCTTGGGACTAGGGTCTCTGGGAGAATGCCTTTCCTGCCCAGAGTCTGCTCATCACTGTGATTATCAGTGGAATTTTTCCTCATTGGACATTTGCCAAGAGGCTTTTCTCTATATTGGCATTCACTCTAAAAAAAAAAAAAAAAACCCTCTCTTTTTATGACCCTGTAATCCCTTAATTCAAGGTAGAGTTGGGGCACCTGAGTGTTTACTGGCCGGATGGCCTTTGCAGCAGATTTTTTTTCTTTGCGCTATAAGAGAGAAACATTTGCCGCTACCTAGGATTGAACTCTCAATCTTTTGAGTGGGGGGCAAGCGTCTTCATCATTTGGCTACCAAGCTGCTCAAACTGGCATCCATTCTGTGAAGTACCTTCCCACAGAGATACAGGCATATGCTAGCCTTGCTTCAGAGTTGATATACATGTTGGAAACTTTCTTTCTTTGGCATATGTATCTCATGTACCACAACTCATGGCTACTGCTTTATTTGATGTGTTTTGTTTCATTAATTTTAATCATTTCATTATTATTTTTTAATTGTATAGAATGTATTTAGTGTTGTACCCTGACTGGATGTGTGGCATGACAGACGCTATTGAAATGTTTTAAATAACTTTGCAATGGTTCCATTGACCACATTTCCCTAAACTTTTTGGGCCAGCCCAGAAACATCACTGTGCAATATCTTCTTTGAGGGTTTGGCACACTGACCTAGTTAACCCCCATCTCAAATAGCACAGCTGAACAGATGACCAAATTCAAAAATGCATATCTCATTTGTTATCTTGATCTTGATATAAAGTTCACTGGAAAATAAATTATAGCTCTTATTAAAATGATCAAAGCTAGGAAATCGGAGAATTGTAGTCCCGAGACTTTGGGGAGAGCCACAAGCCAGACAAGACCCCCTCAATATTAATATCTCATTTGTTGTTTAGCCTTTATGTACAGTTTTGTATGCTTGTTTTTATGTAGACGATAACTACAGTTTGTCAGTAGCCTGATGCTGTTTGTATTGTATTGTCATTTTCCTACCTCACTAGGTAATGTTTAATTGGTCACAAACCTGAAGGTTTCTGGTATTAAAAAGTGTGTTATAGAAATAACAAATATTTTTTTTAATACCGGATTTGACTTTTTATTCCACCTAGTCCTGCAGATAAGTCAAACCCAAACTCTAATCCTAACTAGTGACTTTTATGAAATGGATTTTTGAAAAATAATGACAGATGAGTAGTGCCTTTATCAATAAAATCAAGTAGAAACAGTCCCAAACTTCTGATATTTATCTTATGAGCATATTAATGTCACCAAATAGTATTATAAAAGGGTCCCCTATTTATTTGCAGAACAGCAATCTCTATAAGTAGTCTTTAAAGAGGTGAGGGATTATTGCCATCTGTGAAGGCTTGCTGTATTTTAGAAAAGATGCCACAAAAGCTTTTCGTTTTGTATTTGAAGAATTAAATTAAACCTCCGTTTCTGCTTTGGAATAACACCAGTTGAACTTCCTGTGGCTGGCTTCTGAGGAAATACGCATGGGATTGCCAAATTAAGTCTAATACAAAAAAGATGAGATGGCATTCTAAATAATTGGCCGTTTGTTTCCCAGAAAGTTTCTCTGCCTAAACAGCTTAACCTC